CTGTAACTTTTCTCATGCTTATAAATAAAATGTAGCTTTAAAAATAAAATACGGGTAAAATAATGTGACATTCATTTAAAGTTATAGAACTGATATTTTATTAACCAACAATGAAATAAAGGCACAAATTTGCTAGTTTCATATTGCACGCGGGTTTTGAGTACGTATAAGCCTCGCCAGCAATACCATGGAATTTTTTCCTCATCATCATTTACGCTGGGATTGATAAAAAGACCTCAGAAAGTCTAAACTGAGGCCAAATCAAAACGCAACTTTAAGACACAATTTTGAGTAAAAATTATGGGTAAAAAATGTAAATGGACTACGAGGTGAAATCCACACACAAAGAAGCACGTAAAAAGAAGTTCAGATAAAAAGTTCCGTGATTAGTTGAATAAATAACAGCATAAATTCCAAGGACAATCAAATACCCAACGAAAACATATTTTCAGAAGTGAAAATCTACCTTTATTGTTTTTATGGATTCATTGCCATAATTTGACGTGTATGCAAACTCCTCATGGCCGTAAAGCAATAGCTGCCGCTTGTTGATGCAGACAAGAAGAAATCTCAACGGCTGGCTTGTGTGAGAAGGACGAAGAGATCCCGGTTGCTGAGTGATGCAAGGCATAGAGATGACATCATTAAGGCAGTCCCAACCCCTGTTGCCACCACCACAGCTTGCGTTGAAGAGAACACGTGGGCAACTGTCCGGATTCGAAAATTCGACGCAGGCAAAACGATCCTGAAGAATGTACAGAGAAGAGAGCAAACTTAGAGCAGGCTTTAAAATGAAACGATTAAATTGAATCTAGCATAATCTGTCTTCGGATCGTCGATATTCACACCCATTGTCACCTCGGGCTGCAGGGATCTGGCTTTTCATTTCAAGCCCTTCTTTGAATGCTGAATGCTCCTCCATTGGCCTCATTGGCTGGTCGAATTAAAATGGAGGCTTAATTTCGTACTGAACCTTACTGTAGCATGCATTGTTCCCATCCAAACTAGAATGAGGTCTAGTCTCCGATCTCTCCTCATCGGCGGATCACTACCACCCGTTGGACCTGAACTGTTGTTGTACGAATTCACACCCATACCTTCATGGAAGGTGCTGGAAACTTATTGTGTGCCTAGATTGGAAACTCGTGCATTCATTGTTTTGATCCAGCTGGGACGATACGACGAAGTCAAGAATGCAGTCCAGCATGGATGAGGATAGTCTATTGGGGTCCCTGAAGTGGTGGATTTCAACCATCCAAATGATCCCAGGTAAAATAGTTGATAAGAGAATGGGTTGTTGATGGTCTGAGAAGTGCAGATTTGGGCCAAACAGACTCGCGTTCATAACCATCATGAAGACTATACATCAGCGGCTCAATATGAATAAAAAAACTGTCTTTAGATGGAACGGTCATACA